TGCGCACGCGGTCATCATTTTATATTCGCAATTAATAGAATCTGCTAATTGTGCTAGAAAGACAACTGGAATAAATTAAAAATGATCGCTGCAATACCCAGAGTCATGGCAGTGGCACTTTAGCGCTTTGTGAAAATGTCGGGATTGGGTCGTTGGATTGTGCTGTTTCGTGAATGGCGAAAGGACAATAACTTGCGAAGTTGCCTATGAGAACTTGATTATGTGGCACACCTCAAAGTGGAGGGTTCTGGATATTCTGAATATCTGGTGTTTTCCATCGCGGCCGTTCTTCGCCCAATACGCGAGCATCTATAGCATTTCGCCTCTATTAAAAATGCAACCGGTGTGACCGGGATCGCACCCGTCAATTTTGGGGCAGCAGTCGAGCTTCGTACCCAATTCTCTTCACCTAGGCGGACTAATCATGGCTATTCGCAGCCACTTTTAAATTTCTTGTCATGATGCGAACTGCCGGCGCGCCGCGTTGAGTGATAATGCAACATTTTTCGCATACACAATAGACACTTTTAGTTGGGCGTACGTAACGAGCGTATACGTACGCGGCACGTCACGTTGCGTACGCTGTATACGAAGTGCTCAAAACACGTTTAGTTCACCCTATTGACCGTACCGAGATACGTTTGGTTCAAGGAGACGCATATGTTATAGAAATAAAACAGCTTTGGGTGTTTTTTAGCGCACTCGTGTGGTAGCGGCCGTAATAACCACTAGCATCCAAGCCAAGGCGAATCATTTTGGATCCATAGTTACCGTGGCTAGAATGGTCTACGTCGGTTTGTTCCGGACGTCTAAACAGATCACTGGTTTGTACTTCCGATAGCAGCGCAACATCGTCTCTGAAAGTAAAATATACTCGATTTGGGCCGGCTTTGTTTCTCTCTGCGTTCGACGCCATCGCTGCCGTTTTGCTATCTTGTTCTTATTTCAATCGAGATATCGTGAGAGCGTCACGACGCGTACGCTTCGCCTCGTCAGGTTTACGCACGCCACGTTTTTTTTTTTTTTAGGGCCTACGTGCGCATCTCTGAAATCGATACGTTACGTACTGCACATCAGCAGTTCTTTCCCGTGGCAGTGCTGCGTACGTGGGCTCGTTACGTACGCCCAACTAAAAGTGTCTAAATATATTTAAAGTGCGTACGTATACCCTTACATCTATCTATCATGAGTATACTTAAGGCTTAACTAGTATACACGTTGCCTGCGGAAGAAAGGTACGCCTGCGGGAATAACACTGCCGCCCGATGTGTGCATCCGTATAGCATCAAAGCTATAGCGCAGAAAATGAAAATGATGACACTTCGCATAGTTGTCAGAGCGCTTGATTGATTGATTTGTGGGGTTTAACATCTCAAAACCACCATATGATTATGAGAGACGCTGTAGTGGAGGTCTCCGGAAATTTTGACCACCTGGGGTTCTTTAACGTGCACCCAAATCTGAGCACACGGGCCTACAACATTTCCGCCTCCATCGGAAATGCAGCCGCCGCAGCCGGGATTTGAACCCGCGACCTGCGGGTCGTTGTCAGAGCGCTTGCCTATGCGAAATATGCGCTCGGCTCTTCGAGAAATCCAAGTGATCGTAAAATATACCACACGTACAAAGTCGTCGTCTACTCACCGGAGAGAAAGAAGCCGTTGCGAGCGAAATGTCTTGAACAGAATACCACAGTATCAGTCACATTCCGCCGGTGTCACGATATCCACGTCGTTGTCTTTCGCCCGTCGACCACTTCTTTTAGGGAAACGACGCGCTACTGTCTTTTCAACGTGATGACACGCACTTCAGTACCACAATAAAGGTATTTTGACGTCACTTATTCATCGCGCTTGTGCGCAGCATCATGGCAATAATTTAAGACATTTAAAGCAACGTCTTAGCGCACGCCATCACGTCAGAACTTGGGCCACATTCAGAGACCTTTTTCTTTGCGCAAAGGTGTGAATTTGATGGGCACTTACGAGACTCGCCTGAAGCTTTCGGCCATATGTGGTGCGGTTCTCAGCTGTTTGGTAACCAGGCCAAGGTAAACGGATGGGAACAGTGTAGGCCAGCGCGCACCCGCATCTTGCAAAACCTCGCGAATATGACAATTTTGGGGGAAGTGATCGCTTAATAACACTGCCACGAGCCGCTCCGGGCTTCGCAGTTGCAACCATCGAGCGACAGCTTTTACATCGTTTACCCAGGTTAGGGTCGACTGAGATAGGCTTGCAAATTCCGATAGGCACATCGTGCCAGGCGCGCCAATGTCTGACCCGATACGCCCGTTGGAAGTACAACGGCTCTGTCAATTTACGTAACAACGTAGCCAAGGTGTGGCAAAGGAAACCATGGGTAAGGGGCGATGGTGTGAGGGTGAAGTGTAATGATGAAAGAGGGAGAGGGCGGGGAAAACTTTTGCCTACACCTCTATGGTATAGTGTAGCGAGGGTGGGGAAAACAGCGGTGAGCGGGAGGAGAACTGATGACGGCGCACAGAGAAACTGAAGGAGGACAGGAGAGGGTAATCCTAGCATAACCATATAGCAAAGGTCGGAAGAAGAACTAGCGCCAAGCAGCTCCTGTCATAACATTGTGTAGTATAGCTTGTGAGGATGGCATGGGTAGAATACATGATGAGACCTTTGCACCGCTTATCGCCTCTTACTCCTTTTTTTTTGCGGTAGAGCCGGTAAAAGCTTGTCATTATGCTTGTAGCGTCACCTGAAGGTTACCATCATCATGAGCCGGCGCGCACTCCACTTGTCATGTTTCGCTCCTAGGACGCGTGCGCATATTTGTCCTGTGTAGGATGCAATACCTCTGACGGGCAAAAGCACAAGTGCGCACCGAGAGAGGTAGAAAATGGAAGAGATGGCTAGACCGAGAAAGAAAAGGAGAGAAACAAAGGGAGAGATAACGAGTGCATACATGAGATAGAAAGAAACAGACGCACAAAAATTAGAGAGCAAGCATAGCCATGTGGAGTATAAAAAAGTCACAGTTTCGCCAAAAGGGCGAATCAATGAATGCGATAGCAACATACTAGAATGTTTTACGACGCAAGAATAGCATTTTTAGCTTCAATATGAATTGTAGTAAACATGCGCTTGCCAAGTAGCAAAGTTTCCTGCGGCGCAACCACACTGGATGACTATAAGAAGGCTCGTGCGTAGTGACGGCGTTGATATACAAAGTGAGGCTGGCAGTCATTTAATCTAAATTCGATCTCACGTAACTCAATAAATCGCGGGTGTAAGAGAGCACGGCCGGTTTAGGTACACTCTTGGCGCCGTTGTTTCGTGTTCAGTGCACAGCTTGTAGTAGCTCCCGCCTGCTGTGGGGGCTCAAGGCGCACGCTGATTATTGCCGCGATAGCGCGGCAATCGTAAGCATCCCCCCCCCCCCTCCTCGCTCGCTCGCTCGCTCACGAGATAAGCGCGAGCGCAGACGACCCCGGCCGGAAAGGCGATGCTCGCTCGCCAGAAGGAGGAAGCTGGGGCATCCTTCCCCGTGTATAGATACATACATATACATGTAAAAGAATGACCACGGCGGTGGCAACGGCAAAAACCAGCCGGGACTGTCTCTATAATTGCTATCACAATAATATAGCAAGGAGTGGGGAAAGGAAGTGAGGCTGCTGTTCGGTCGGGGTGGTGGGGCTAGTCAAACTGCATATGTTTCAGCTTCACATCCAAGTACCTTCCCCGTAAATGGTATATTTTATTCTCAGCTTGTTCTTCAGTTTTGTTACACAAAACACCAATTAGGCTAACGTAGACAAAACCTCAAATCTCAAATGGTAAGGGCGAGAGAAAGAAGGAGAAATGAGAAAGCATAGCATTAGTTTTGTACAGTATATTATAGCAAGTGGCGAAGGAAGTGAGGAAGAGGGAAGGAGGAGGGCAGCGCCGCCAGCTTCACTGGTTTGTCAGTCTTGGCATCATTAGTGCGTGTAGCTTCGCTCAATATTAGGTCCGCGGTGCTTTGTGGGTACACCTTGCCGTCGATCCGTAGATGTGATGTGGTGTGCTCACGCTCAAAATCGAATGTTCCATACATGTCTGAAATAACTTCCTCACAACCGGGTTAAAAGAAACAAACAAAGTCTAAAATAGTATAAAAACACAAACAATCTGAATGTAATCGCAATGATTGACTTCATATCGCTATGTAGACGCTTCGACAACTCGTGGACGCCAAAGAGGACGCCACAACCTCGCCAAGCACGCGACTGCTTCTCCTACTGGCGCTCCACCGGCACATTCGACGATTCATCTGAGGAGACAAGCGGCTTGGTCTACTTGGCATGCCTCGACGAGTGTTACAGCGTTCATTGAAGGCGATGACAAAGAGACAAACGAGCGCTCGTCCTCCATTTGTCTTCGTGTCCTCGTCTTCTGTTCGTGCTATACCATTGATTACGATACATCTGAAGGGGGAAACTACCTGACGGAACTCGCGGCAGACGACATAGATCACAATTGCCGTAACAGATAGGAACTCGATAAAGAGTAGGAAGAAGTAGCGTGCATGTCGATCACCGAGATTGCAAATCTGCAATGCTAGATTCTGTTCGCGCCCGCATGCTTACCTCAAACGTTGACGTCATTGATGGTTTCATAAACGGAGTAGTGGGAACTACACGAACGGCAATCGCTGGGTGGACCCGTGCTTACACACTTCCTAAGGTTTCGTAAAAGTGGAGCTTCATTTACCGCAGGATTTAGAACTGCACTGGTCGCTACGCTACACAAGGACGCAATTTCTCTACTTTTCTTTATGAGACAACTTAATAGGCGGTGATGGTGTGGAGAGCACTAGTAGCTGGAACGAGCGCTGCAATCTAAAGAAATAATAAATAGAGAAAGTACGTGTTCCTCTTTTTGATAAGACTTCTCAAACTATGCGTTAACTCTCTTTTCACGAATCACGCCTATCAGGAGCCTCCAAGGAGAGGACGAGGATCAAGAAACAACGACACGAAAACATTCATTTTCTGTCTAAAATTTATCAGTCATTCGAAGTTTAGCTTGGGGATTCCAGCATTGATGTCGTTCTCTATGCCGCATTCATTGGTTCCACGAAGAATTTTGAAGTATCCTGTGGAAATAAATAGAAAACATTAGTGGCAGAAATCATCGCAGACAAGTGGCACTCACTCACTCACTCACTCACTCACTCACTCACTCACTCACTCACTCACTCAATCAATCAATCAATCAATCAAGCCATGAATATTTCAATTAACTTATTTGCTTTGAGCTTACCTTTGTCGCCCCAGTTGGGATTCCATGAGTTTGCTGCAAGCCAGTAGGGTATGCCATTTTCTGTGCCCCACCCTATGATTTTGACTGCATGTCCGCTCAGATACTCGCTGCTGAGTCTCTGATAAACACCTACAAGACAGATTAGTAATGTTTATTTACTTGCTATCCACACCTTATCAAGTCGTGTTGGTGCTCATACCCCTAAAATGTCGTTTTCACCTTATGGCGCCCGCGCATCGTAGTTGGCTTAAACACCGGATAGCGAGAGTTGGCACTGCGATAGCGTGGGGGCGCTGCCTCACTAGAGTGAGCGTACGTGCGAGCATAGAAATGATCACTCGGGAGCCCTTTTAAGGCTTTGCGTCGTCGGCGACGGCTGGCTCTCGGGTACAATGTCTTGGGTACGATTCTCGGGTACGATTCGGGCGCGATTCCACGACTCGGTCTCATGGACCCCGTGGTGAGTCTAACGTCGGCGACCACGACTTCGCGGTACATCTTGGCATTATGTTGTCGGGGTATGTTTCGTTATCTTTCTATTGTTTCTTTTTTATTTTACTCCAGTTATTGGTTAGTGATTACTTGCGGACTCACCTTTATAAAAAAAGGTTACTCATTGACCTGGCCCTCACTACCTCATACGGTGTGACTGTGTCCGTTTGTTTGTAGAGTGGCGCTATCAAGATCTCTGAGAGTTGACACGTTACGCCATCTTAGTCTTGCGTCAGTTGTTACTTTCAACATCCCCAATCTTTTCGTGTTTTAGTATTGAATTAGCCTCTCTTGAGGTGCATCAAAAATAATTACCAGACACCTTGCAACTGATTATATATGAGAAGGGGTTCCGGTTGTAGTCCCTAGATGGGAATTTGTTGTTTTAGTTTCGCCTTACCCTATTTATCATCTTTCTTTCCATCTATATGGAAGCTTTTATAGGTAGGTTTACTTTTGTAGAGGTCGTTCCGATTTTGTCGTAGTATTTGTCTCTTTCCTGTATCACGCGTGCCCTCCCCTTTGTATATACCCCCTCTCTCCATTTTTTTCTTACCGATGGTATTCAATCTACAAAAGCGGTTAGAGCTCTGAGGTCCATCGCATATTAATTACTAATCTCGTTCCAGCTCTACAATGGCCTCGCGACTGCTTTAGAAGAACCTGGACTTTCTGAATGCCCATTTTACGGGCTGTCTTGGGTTTACCAGTTTTGCAGCACTGCTCTATTTTGGAGCCTAGACCTTTGATCTCAATAATGCTAGTGTGATAATAGCGAAAGTTGGGCTAGGTGGTGGTTCATACTTGGGAAGTAATAACAGCGCAAAATACAGACAATGACACAGGAAGAGACGACACCGCGCTTCCTGTGTCCTTGTCTATATTTTTGCACTGTCTTTACTTCCCAAGCATGCTAGCGTGTTCTTTGCGTTTTCTAAATATCCTTACCATACGTTCGCATTGTCATCGGAACACGTGCAGCTGCGCAGTGCTTCTATTAGTACAGGAATGCTTTATAGATTTAGATAACTCTATATCGCTCAATTAGACTGATCGAACTGTTTCTATCAGCATTACCTCGGTATGCATTGATGATTGAATAACGAACCAGCGGCGACTATAAGCGTGAGCCCACAAGTGACTTAATATACACTCCCGTTCTTTTAGGACCTATCGTTATTCTGTAAAATTATGAGCAATTTTCTGTGGAGAAAGAAAAGCAGGGAACATGATTTCTACTCTGCGTGCAATAAGTCCTTCAATCCCCCCAACCTCCTTCTCACTAACTCACTCCACCCCTCCTCTTTTTCAACAGCCTCGATTGTCTCGAACACAAATGGCAAAGAGTTAACGAGAACATATGCGACACGCAAGATCTTCTAGCTACCGTACAGTAGAAAATGAGAGAACTACCACTGCAACGACATCAGGAAAAAACAGGCATCATCAGTGCACGGATCTCACAGTTTAAATTTACAGGTTATGTGGATATGAAAGAAAATATTACCTTATTTACAGCGTGTGTGTACATCAGCAATATTTGCTTAGATCAGCACAAATTGTAAAGACAAGCGAGAGTGAGAAACAATCCATCCCCTGTTTTTCATCGATCTATCAAAATTGCCTCTTACCACTCTTGTAAGAGAAGAAGTCGGAATAGACATCGAAGTCCGCTTCTACGGGACCGTTCTTGAATATGTCGGTCTTGATTTGCGTCTCGTCCGCCTCTATTGAGTACACTTTCTCACCTGCAATGAAAAAAGACGCTAAGAATAGACGCTAACAAAAGTATAGACGCAAAGAAAACACGCTAAGAATGTAAGCATAACTTCCCAACGAAAAGCTGTCACAGCTGCTGTAGCACACTACGAAGCAGTTTAAAGGAAAAAGTCGACGGGTCCTCAAATCGCACGGCGGTGACAAATATTTTGTTCGTTCCCAGAAAAAATGAAAATCGAAGATCTACGAAAGCAGTGTGTTCTTACTATAGTGCCGCAAGCACGGGAACCATCCCCTCAACTTATTAACACTCCACTGCAGTGCCAAAAATGTGGCCTGGTTTTTTAATTCAAGCGCTAAGTTCAATCAATCAATCAATCATTGGGTTGAGTGTGATCAACTGCTTCTGCTTTCGATCTACAGCAAGAATTGTTCCCCAAGAGCTAACTTAGCATCGATCAATATACGTTCTTTCTCTCGCTTCTCGTGCCTTACATATACTTTCAGTCCACCCATTCTTGTTGTCCTGAACACTGCACATGCTACGCAGGTAGAAATTGATTATTACTAATTGTAGGTGTTTGTATTGTACCAGGCGCATTAAGATAGGTAGTAGTAAAATATTTTGAGTCTTCATTTCTCTACTTATCAATAAAAACAGACATGTGTTAGGTGGTGACGCCTCAACCGAGATCCGACAAATCAATATACACGTGCCCTGGTGCTTATTAAGCCGCATATATCTGCGCTTAAATTCTATCATACCAACCACTGCTTGGAAAGCATCGGCGTGTACGCCACGTCACCTGGCGACGACTTAACTCAGAAAAGCGGCGAGGACACGTGAACACGTGTGAATCAGTCCCCGTTAGGTCACGTAAGAATGGAATAAGCTCGTATTTATAATTGCCAACGGCGCTTCGCATGCGTCAGGAAAGCGTGTTGTGCGGCTGCGGCGTAGGTGGTGCCCCGGAGGGGTATTATGTAAAAGTGCACAAACTAGAGTCTATTTCAGCACGCTCTATTCGGATGAAGCTCGAGAGCCGGCGTAAGGGAACTAACCGTAAAGACCGCTGTCGATCGTTAACCAGGCAGCATGCTAATACTAAAGGTTCACGTAATGACTTTCAAAGAATACAATTCGTGGTCATAAACCAGCACCCAACCCAGGACGCTCCAGTGACCTCACAAAGCTCCTCTGTCTATTTCGCTGCATGTTATTGGTGGAACATGACTGTTGGAGCTCAGATAGACTGCATGACAACACAGGGCTTTTGGAATCGTGCAACCTGGCGCTTTGCGACACGCTGTGACCATCGTATGGAATCTATAGTATCAGGCATTCTTACCCCCGTAATCAGAAACGCTATTTGATTTGAACTTGACTTGCCACCACCTTCAGTGCAGCCCAAACGGGTTTCAGGCGTGCTGCTCTTGATGGTGCCACGGCAGCCAAAACGCAAAAACACGTTGAAAGTGCGCTGCATTCAAAGCGGTGGCAAGTGAAGTTCAAGTCAAGGGACGTTTCTGAATAAGAGAGTTAATCCCAGCGCCAAAACAACGAACGATTATTTGCATTACAGTTGGTCGTGGAAGGGTGAGAGTAGCATTGATTTCTGCAGGACGATGGATCTGGGGCCCGATTCACAAAACTTATTTTTCATAAGCGCAATTTCAAATTGGTCAAATGGCTTCTTTAACGACACATCGCACATCGCGGTTGGTTGAAAATTTATCTTACGGAAATTTCAGGGTAAGTCATTCTTGTTAATACGAGCTGCATATTTTTTTCTTCGTTCATGAGTTGCTACCACTGGTCAATAAACTCCAACTCTATTTCACTCGTGTTGTGGGCTTCCTTTCCTTGATCTAGGTCCACCTCGAAATATTTATATTATAACTCATTTCAGCTATGATAAAAGATGTCATGTCACAGAAAGACGAGTAATTGAAGAAATCTCAGCATATCCACGGAGTGAATGATGATGAGCGGGGCGAAGCGCTGGACGGTTTCATCGCTAAACCATGAACCATCCGTGGATATTGCCCATTACATCATCGAAGACGTGACGAACTCTGAATGTATTTACTCGAGAAATTCTATTTATTCGTAAGTGGTAGCTATACGTCACTTCCGTTCCCTCTTCGTTATAACGGCTTTATAGTCGGTGAAATGGTGGATCGGTGAGTGGTGGATGGGGCGTAGTGGAATGTTTGAAAGGACGAAGTAGTGGGCAGTTTGCAAAGGTGGAACTATAGGCGGTCACGTACAAACAAGGAATGACCATAGTGGGGCAATCTATGGTTCTTTAACGCGCACCTGGATACAAGTATACGCGACCATCTTGCATTTCATATTGGCTTCTTCTCAACAGTATTTGCTTTATGGTCGGTGAAGTGGTGGATTGCTGATGGGGCTAGAGGTATCTTTGCAAGGACGAAGTAGTGGGCAGTTTGCAAAGGTGGAAGTACAAGTGGTCACGTGCATACATACAAGAGATGGACGAATCCGCGTCTTTAGGAGCTTCGCCACTTAAAAATAATCACCTCTTTTCAAGCACGTCGCTCCGCTCTTACGAATAGGGGGGGGGGGGGGCATTACAGTAATTACTCAAACAACCCATTCAAATTGCGCCGCTGTGACGTTTAAGAATTGAGTGACACCAAACGAGTGAATAAGACTGTTTCGCACGCCCACGAACCAAGTTTCTTCTTTTTGTCAACGAAGATCCCATTTTTGTTCTCATTTCATCAAACCAACAAGCGAGGCACCTAAAAAAATATATAAGTGGAATAACATCACATTTCATAGAATTTTAAGACTCTAACATAGTTCATTATTTCACAACTATGACAAATAATCTGTCAAATATCACGTGTCACTACCACGGTATGGCTAAGAGGCATTGAGTTGTGCTAAAGTCTGCATTAACTTTAACCACCTGTGATTTTTTTTCTGACGTGCACCTATGAAAGCAAATGCGCGCGTGTTTCTGTACTTCGCCTACCCTCGACATACAGCCCCCGTGACAGGTAATCGAACCCACGCCCTCGAGCGTAGTAGAGTGGCACCTTGTATGCTCAACTAAAAACAATGAGCTCGTGCTTGCTGAAATAGAATTATAGTATTTGAAATAAAGTACAAGATAGACATATAATTGCACAGTCCAGAAGTAAAAACTTTGGGACCTTTGAAGCCATTAAAAGTGTAATAAGATTTTATGTTTCTTTTTCTCATTCCACCTATTATGCCACCCTTTTCTGTTCCCACGCCCGAACATAACACGACGCATGCGAGCCTCGTCAATTTAAAAACGAACGCAATTAAAGTAGGCTTCTCCGTGGCCATGGAAACAACGTGAAGAAGCCGTCAAATGTTTCTTTCTTTTTCTGTCATTTACTTATTCATTGAAGTTCTTACTGCCCGCACGAGTGTGCGCGCGTAAAAATGTATGGTACTACAGGAACGACAATCGTTGCTATCAAACAAAACCGCGCGTCGTACTTGGACAGTATTATCAATTTTTCGTTAGAGAGCAGCGATCACCACCTGATGCGATACTCATTTACACTACGTCAAAAACCTGATAAAAAATGCAAATTACGTACAATCACAAACAGGTCAACTCAATTCTGAAGCGGGCGTTCTATCGATTTCCAAGAAATTTTGGCGTATAGACAGTCAATAGGCTGAAAATATGTAATGATTTTGACGGATCACAAGCCAGTTTCAGGTGTCATATGGCGAACACTTTTTTTACTCATACTTTTATCTCGTTGCATTTTCATTCTTTCTTAAAATTCTATCGCAAGCCTGACTTCCTTCAAAAATGACTCAATGTCTTATGTGTACGATAAAATTTATCAACTTTTCTCCCGTGTAACCTAACTAATATAGGTATGTAAGATATATGGGCAACAGGTCCTCAATAACGGCGGCAGAGTAAAATGGAATCTTACTATGATCAAAATGAAGCCGCAAGTTACTCGTGGACGATCAACAGTAGTAACCAATTTATTTGCGCGGTTAAACATCTCAAAACCACCATTTGATTATAATAGACGCCGCAGTGGAAAGCTCGGGAAATTTCGACCACCTGCTGTTTTTTAACGTGCACCCAAATCTGAGCCCACGGGCCTACAGCATTTTCACCTCTATCAAAAATGCAGCCGCCACAGCCCGGATTTGATCCCGGTATACCTGCGGCTGAAGAGCCGAGTAGCTTAGTTGCTAGACCACCGCGGCGGGGCCCATCAACAGTAAGAATAGAGTCCGACGTTTCATGCCTCAAGCTCTGCCGGTTACATTGACCATGCCCCTACAAGTTTCTATTACCCAATAAGTGTTGCGTGATCACCAGTAAAGTGAGAATATTAACGTGGTCCAGCTTGCACAGAAACACAAAATTATGCGGTACTTTCATATATGCACAAGATAGCGCACAATCTCAGAACAGTAGTGCAGCAAGTGATTGTGACCGTGCTTTTCTCGGCCTCACGAAAATTGAGCAGTTTGTGCAAAATATCTGTTCCAGCGTCCGCAAGGAATTGTGGGTGTTCCACCACACCTAAAAACTAATTTATAGATTGTGTTTTTAATGTAGTTTACCAGCTGCCTTTGTCAAGGAAAAAATATAACGTTGGACAAGTGGGTGATCGTTTAAATGAGAGGTTATAGGAACATGTGTTTGAGGTTGATTGGTCAAGACAAGGGTGTCTCTCCTCCCATTACTGAAATATTCTGATTGCGGTAATGTCGTAAAATGCAGAGGTCACACCACACGCAAAACCATCGCATGCAAGGAAGATTACTCCTTTAGAAATATTGTCAGTACCACCTCCATCTCGCTCACTCATAAAGGTGTACTTAGGTTTGTCCACCGGATTAATTCTTGAGATAGCACTGTGTTCCGCGCATCGCTATTGCAACAGAGTGGAACTGACCAGAAAGCAAACTTTTTCAAAACATAAATGGTAGAAAGTTCAGCGCTGTCTGTTCTCTCTTCCGTCCCTTCCTGTAGGTTGTGCCAATTAGCAGTCACAGACACTTTATAAATAACGCAATCTATTCAGAGCGCATAGGGCGTGTTACGGAATGTCGGAATTTTCCAGCGCTGCTTCATTGCACCCCGTTGGTCTCAATTACGAGTTTTGTGTTTTACACGCCAAAACTACAATACAATTATGAAACATGCTGCAGTGGAGCGTTCCGGAAGTTCCCACAGTGTGGCGGTATTTAACGTGCGCTGACATTACAGAGTTCACAGGCCCTTAGAATTCTGTCTCCATCAAAATGATGCCACCACGGCAGGGATCGAACCTGTGACCTTCGGGTAAGCAGCCGTGTATCGTAACCGTTACAACACTGCGGCCAACACCAACTGGTCTTGCGGAGTAATGGTACAAAAAGGAGCACACGAATATCCTCGTCCTTTTTCTCGATCCGTTTTTCTGTGTTTATGCCTTGCTGCAACAAATTTACTTACCTATATTCTGTACAGTACGATGCTCGAAACATTGCGTCCATAAGCCTCTATGCGTCACACCGCAATATATAGTCAGTTCTCTCTCTTTCTCTCCCACTCTCCCCTTTTTGAATTTATTTCACTCCTTACTTTCCTAAGACAGCTATAGGACAACAAAGCAGCAATATTTTGTGACTGCACCGTCAAATTATACAAGAACACAAAGACGCAAAAATACAGGGCATAAACAAGTAATTAGTCCAGTTTATCTTAGTCGTACGATCTTCCTAATGGCCAGCTTCCTCTCTGTACCAATTTACTTTTACGAGCGTTACGCCATTCATAAGCCCTGCTTACGGGAGGTAAAGGAAGTAAGCGCTATAATACCCTTGTACTTGTCATTGCTGTAGTCCGTATCGTATCCCTCGCGGCAGGTGTGCACACAGCGAGGCGTCGGTGAGATGTCTTCGCTGCAGTTGGGCAGCGGTCCGACGGTGTGATGCTCGCAAGGCGGGAAGTGGTACGGCAAGCAGCCATCATCGGTGTCATGCAGGCCTCCTGTGACGATACCCCGGTCCCTGTAGAACTGCCACGCCGATGAAGGAAAACCTCCTAGGCAGCTGTAAAACAGCGCAGAGATTCAATCGGTAGGAAAGTATTCCACGCGTCATTAAAAGAGGGTTCTGAAGCTTGGTCCGCGTTGTGACGTCACAAGTGCGGCATTGAAATGAATAAAATTGGTGAATGAAGAATGAACTGTATGTATGATTCTGTAGCATGACAAAGTTTCTGCTAAGGGCCCCAATGCTTCTCCAAAAATTGCCAGAATTATTAATATACTCCTATATATAACATCCAAAAATAATGGTATGATTAAGAGAGACGCCCCGCCGCGGTGGTCTAGTGGCTAAGGCTGCTGACCCGCAGGTCGCGGGTTCGATTCCCGGCTGCGGCGGCTGCATTTCCGATGGAGGCGGAAATGTTGTAGGCCCATGTACTCAGATTTGGGTGCACGTTAAAGAACCCCAGGTGGTCAAAATTTCCGGAGCCCTCCACTACGGCGTCTCTCATAATCAAACGGTGGTTTTGGGACGTGAAACCCCACAAATCAATCAATGATTAAGAGAGACGCCGTAGTAGAGGGCTTCGGAAATATCGACCACCTCATGTTCTTTGACGTGCAGCCAAATCTGAGCGCACGGGCCTCAAGCATTTTCACCTGGAACAAAAATGCACTTGCTGCTGTCACAATTTGATAATATTAAGATTTAGGGCTGTAGCATGGGGTCACAGATTATGCGAATGCGTCTGCTAAAAATAGCGCGCCTGGGCGGTACGAAAACCGTCGAAGCCGGAAACAAAAGGCTGTATAGCTGGTATCTGAAGGAATACTCGATGAGTGAGAGAGAGAAAGAGCCTATAAAGCGGCACGTGTCAATGTAACATGCACTTATCGTATCTCCACCGACCACGGCCTGGGAAGTCGGGTGTTTGCCCACAATGCTACGCCTTGAAGCGATATAAAGAAGAAAGAGAGAAAAATCGAGGCCCGTGCTGCTGGAGCTAATCGCGAAGGCCACACAGTCGGGTGTACGCAGTCCTAGCGGAGGCTACTCGACGCCAAGAAAGAGCACGTCTCCTTTCACCGGGAACCCCGCATATACCATATGCACTGTAACATGGCCTCTTTATTTCTCCTAATTGGTTCATTTATGAGCTGATATGAAAAGTTTCTTCCCCAATGCCCTCCCTGTGCGGAGCTGCATTACTTGCTATATGCAATAAATATTTTCTATCTGAGCCTGCAAATGTCTGCTGCGAAAAGCAAGCAGTTGCAATGATTTATCTAGCATACGCAGATATGTTTTTGTGCCTGCTTCCTTTTACACCACAGTGTATCTTAACAGTTGATAGTCAGCGTTTGTGTTGGCCTGATTTTTTTTGTTGTCATGTTCGTATCTGCACCTTGTTTCATCGTGAGCCTTAAAGTTAACACGTGCCCTTCTCTCGTTCCATCACCTGCACCATATCCCTGCAACACAGTTACCTCCTAGGCCAACAGCAATCTTCAACGGACAACTACGGGATAAACTCTCACCTAAACTGGCAATTTCTTGTGCCTTCCGCACATTTTTTGCTTTAGCAAAACTCACCAGTTGTATTTACTTGGGTTTGGTTCGATTCGCCGATTTACTACGACTTTCCATAACTACTGTAATGCTGCATCGTTCTGCAAGACCTGCCGAGCAACTCGTCTACGAACTCAGAACTCGTTGAACTCACCCACGACCGCAACTGGGGCAACACGTCAGGATGTCCTGGGCAGAGATGTTCACTTGCACCTTTCCCTGGCTGTGGATACAGATGCGGTCAGATATGGCTTCAACGGCTCCAAATGCCTGTGCAAGGCGTATCGATGATCAAGCGTGTTTTCTTCCTTTCCTTCATTGGAACACTACGGCTCAGATTCTCAATGGCTATAAGATCCGAAATCACGTTATTATTGGTCATTGTCACGTTGCCGAACACACATGGTGGCTTGATAGTTGTGATGGTAACAACATTTAACGTTGCATTGTTCTTAAATATTAGTGATGAACCTACGAATTGACGAGTTGTCACTCTATTCTCATTCTCTTGCACTAGCGTAGTTTGTTTCAACTTCCTGCAGGGTTCTAGTTCACGAATAGCGAACACGTATGCAAAACCCGTCCCCACTTTTCTGGCCATGGAGTACAAAACTCTATTTGTATGGCCTTGCATGAAGGGCTTGTTTCTGGCGACTATTTTTTTTTATCGTCTCAGAAAAAGTATTCAATCAAGACCAAATTATTTTTATAGAATTACTGCAGCATTTATGCTGAAAGATGACCTTGATTTGGTAAAAAACGCACTACAATTCATTACGCTTATGTAGAATTCAAATCTTTTTTGTACTCATTAGGAAGGAAGGAAGGAAGGAAGGAAGGAAGGAAGGAAGGAAGGAAGGAAGGAAGGAAAAGAATGGCAGGGAGTTTAACCAGCCTATAAGCAGCCGGTTTGCTACCCTGCGCATGGGAGGGGGATGGGGGAGATAAAAGATAGAGAGCAGAGAGGGAAGAGAGATAAACACAGCACATTCGGCAGCACACGCGTGCACACTCAGTCATAGTCCAGTCTTGTTTTTCGCGGCGTGTGACATTGCTGTTAAAGCCACTTGTTCAAGTCCGTGTCGCGTAGGAATTTCAACAGAGCTTTTGTCGCCTTCTGTTGCAATGTCTTTTTTCGGACACTTGACAAAATAGTGTCCACAGACATTTGGCTGTTGTCGATGCGCGCAAAAACGGACGCCAGTGACTGTCTCTGGATGTCATACAACGGACAGTCGCACGGGATGGGGTGTAGCGTCTGTTCGCAATGACAGGCATCGCAGAGAGCGTTATCGGCCATTCCTATGACAAAAGAATAACATTTTGTAAATTTCACTCCTAGCCATAAGCGATGAAAAAGTGTAGCTTCTCTTCGATCAAGCCCAGTGGGCATGCGGAGAGTCATCAAAGAGGACAGGTGGGGTTGACGATTCGTCTCGTGGCTTGGTGGGCACCATAGTAAAAACGTGATTTCACGCGTAAGTCATCGAAGATTACTGGCAGCATCGGACTGCGAAAGTGGTATGGCTTCTTCTCGTGTTCCTTCAAGAGCTGCATTTCCGATGGAGGCGGAAATGTTGTAGGCCCGTGTGCTCAGATTTGGGTGCACGTTAAAGAACCCCAGGTGGTCTAAATTTCCGGAGCCCTCCACTACGGCGTCTCTCATAATCATATAGTGGTTTTGGGACGTTAAACCCCACATATCAATCAATCAATCCTTCAAGAGCTGCCCACGCGGCAGTATCGGCATGTTCGTTCCCTATGACGCCGCAGTGACTTGGCAGCCACTGAAAGGTCACATGATGCCTTTTCTCGTGAAAAGTGTGGAGAAGGCATCGAATTTAGAAAACAAGCTATTCGTATGGCACGCAACGCAGTGCTGAGAGCACAGATTGAAGGGCAGCCCTTGAGTTACTGAAAATCGACCATTGTTGTACTCATTAGAATGCCGATGTTGCTTGCGACCTTTCGGGATTACACTAAGTGCACTCGGTGGATCTCACGACATGGCCAATGACATGACAAATCCACGGTGAAAGCCGCACGTTCCCTTTTCGGTAATCCGCACAATCGCCTTAGCTCTAAAATTGGATGACATGACAGGGGCTTACATATTCGCACACAAACGCTGTGTTTCTTTCGAAGCTTGAAATGAACATGCAGCGTGAGATGGCAAGAGGAAGAAAAAAAGATTACCAACAAGAGCACAGCCACTAGGCGAATGAACGTGTGTAGAGTTAATGAGTAGGCCTCAAGCTTTATTATAAAACATTTGAGTCCCACGGTTTAGAGTGAAGCATTTCTAAATGATTGTTGCGCAACGTGGTTTAATAGAAGTGCTTTAGAGCGATGGTTTAAAACGAAAGCACGTGGATAATCACGCAAACGCATGCGCGTGCAGATTTAAAGAAGAACGGTCTGTTTGTCGCAAGTACGTGTCGTTAACTTTCTTCTAGTGAAGTTTTGCAAGGTTATTGGTGTGGAAATTAACCACACGCTTCCTCCCAGAATGACGCAACATAATGTTTCTATCGTCACAAAACGGCATTGTTTCATTTTCGCCTTCTCATTAGTCATTAGTGCCCTCTTCTATATATATATATATATATATATATATATATATATATATATATATATATATATATATATATAGAAGAGGGCACTAATGACTTTTTCACCTGTTTCTTTTTTACCATTTCTCCTTTCACTCTGTAATGCAACCCATCAGCGCAACATGGTTAACTGCTGCACCTTTCTTTCTTTCTTTCTTTCTATCTTTCTTTTTGTTTTTATTTATTTATTTACTTCCTTCTATCTTCAAGATAACATCGTGAACAATCAAATGTCTATTCACGAGATATCAAGAGGTGCTGCGGCAAAAATGAGAGGTGCTGAGATGCTAAAAGAAAAAAAAAACGTTGCTGGGACAAAAAATGACACGAGTTCTAACATTTACTCATGAAAGAAAACTCTCTCAGTAACATCAGGCTATCGCAGTACATACAATATGAAAATGGAATAAAACTATGACACTTCAATGTGACGAAACATACAAAGAGAAATGCCCCTAGCATGAACTTCTGAAGTTAGCAGGTAGGACAAGGGGTATATTTTGTATGTGAATTATCGCGTGCAGAAATGACAGTGAAGGCAACCCAGTCAGCAACCTCTTGTACGTGTATACACGGTGAAGTTGAAATAAAATGTACCATACGTAACAAAAAGCGTAACAGACGAGACATAACCTTCAAGGTAACATCTTCAGCAATAAAATGTGTATATACACGGTGATACCAAAACAAAACAATGATCAAATTTGTTAATAACAGCCGAGAACATAACTAATATAGGGGACTAATTCCATGCTTTTAATATACACTGCTGGTAGGTGCTTGCCAGCCAATGGTCATTTGGCTTCCTGCTTCACTCTTCTAAACTTCCGCTTTACATTTGCGCGTACATATTTAAACACGCACGCACAGAGACGCATCTTCAGCACTTTTAAGGTTAAAAAAATCACAGCATATCCACGGAGGGAATGATGATGAGTGGGGCGAAGCGTCCGTCAGCCAGTCCATGCTTCTGTCCGTCTATTCGTCCTTGCTTCCGTCCATCCGCGCGACCATCCGTGCATCCATCCATGCGTCCGTCCATCTGTCCATGCGTCTGTCTGTGAGTCCGTTCATCCGTCTGTCCCTCCGTTCGTGCATCCATCCGTCCACGCGTCCGTCCATCTGTCTGTCCGCCTTCTAGTCTGTCTGTCCGTCTGTCCGCGCATCCATTTATTGAACACTCTAAGTACCGCCATCTCCCATCTCCTATCACCTGTGGCACATACCCGCTTTAGAACGGGTATGTGCCACTGGTGACTACATACACCAATGGAGGATAGACAGACCCACGCTCTAAGGAGCTTTGCCCTTAAAATTCACAAGCATAAATATCTATCGAAGCACGCGTTTACAACCAAATGCTTTTCAGTTTTGGTCTTCGGTTTTACTAAATCTTATATTTTTAGGTGCGGCATTTAGAAAATCGCATTCTTCCGCATTGGTATGGTTGAAAATCCTCTGTGCGGTGCCTGTAGTTGCGAGGAGATGCTACGCCACATCCTGTGTGACTGTCTGGTCTATAGTATGCGGGAACAATGACTGCCATTCTTTATAAAGCGCCTTGACAATCGACAAATGTTTGTTGAGTCTGTCCTTGCAGGTCGTCGACAAAGGACAAGTGAAGGCAACCAAGGAACTGCTGAGATTTTTGAAGAAAAAAAAACGGACCTGAACAAGCGTTCCACGCCAGATTGATGGACTCTTACTGACTAGGTGCTTGTGCACGCTCATGGTGATGTGCGATCTCTTTGTCCCTTTCCTCTCTTTCCTCTTCTTTATTCAACCTCCCTTTCTCACGTGTAAGGTAGCAAACTGGTAATCCTAGACTGGTTAACATGCCTACCTTTATTCCTCTATCATTTATTCTTTCTATTTTCAGTTTTGCAAACTGCCGTGATCACCGCAGTGAAGGTGGCGTTAAATGTATGATGTTCATCAAGAACGCACGCAGAGTTGCTTTAAAGGTGTCGTGGCGGTGCGTATGGTGTTCAGTTAGCAACCAAAAGGTTGATGGTTCAAATCACAGAATAGATAGTTGCCTAAAACCAGGATGTCATCTACATTCATTAGTGCCGGAACACAAATGCACGTACTGTCAAATACTAAAAACGTAACTCGAAGGGCTACACTGCGATTGGGACTTACAGACCTAAAATTACGATGATCAAGTTTCTTTAAAAGACGTCGCAACGATACTATTATATATGTTCTGCGCAAAGTGCTAGACATAGTCTGGGCATTATACATTTATAGCCTACTTTTCTGGCTATAGCCAGTTCTTTGACTGGGACCTTATTCGGAGCGTATATAGTGTACCCCTGAGAAACGTCCACGGTAAGCAGACTACAGGAAATGTAGCTTACCCAGCAAGATCCGCAACTTGACTGATCCCGGATGAGTCCGATGCTTGTGCACTGCGGCCATTTTTCGCGAGCGTCGAAGGATTCCGGCAGGTCCTCTGGAATCTCAGCGTGGTGAAGAGCAGGCAGCCTGTGAAGCCGGTTGTCGGGATGGACACCCAGGAGCCCTCGCAGGAACATTGGCGAGATGTTCCTGTTGAAGTTTCTTCCAGCCTGTTGACGGTACACGACAAGACTCACAGGTCGTGCATGGAAGTTTAGAACAAGTTCTGAATCTTCTGCCTTTTGTTATACCTACTGCTGGATTAAGACTTTGAAACATGAATCTGCCACATCAATGCGACAGTTGAATGAGTTGGTAAAAGCCCACATTCACCCCCTACTAGGTTGCGGGTCGGCCATAAATAAGAAGTGTAGAACGGGATGGTTTTTAAAGACGATAGTCTTTCTTGGGGACCTTCTGTACAAAAATTTTGATCTGTCTGTCTGTCTTTCTGTCTGTCTGTCTGTCTGTCCCTCTGTCTGTCTGTCTGTCTGTCCCTCTGTCTGTCTGTCTGTTTGTCTACTTTTAACGGCACAGGGTACTTGAAACAGCCGTCCCCATCCGCAGCGCCCACCAATGTTGCTCAAGGTTTAGTATTCATACTTGTGCAATTGTGAATTAATAAGCAAGTATTGCGCATGTCTGGGGCACCACAACGATGCGTATGTAATCTGCATGTGCATCTTTTACTAGAAAAGGAATACATAAGTAGTTTTAAGGACCGTAGCACTTATCACGCTGCGCTGACCATGCAACGCTTGCTTGGAAAAACGAGTGTTTCCAACGCTCTCCTTAGACGAGACGGTGGTGGCACCTACCAGTCGCCTTGCGTTCTACACCTTATCACCTCTGAGACGGGCGCGCACACCCGTCTCAGAACTACGCGCTTCGTTTTCCAAGAAAACTGCCAGATGGCACTTAAGTCTCACGTGTGACGTGACCTGATGCGCTCGTTTGCCTCTGCTGCACGATCGAGCTGGGCTCGAGGCACTCTAACGCAGCACCACCAGAATACCATTCACTGATTTTCTTGCACAGAACATCAAATAAATTGTTCATTCTCTTCACACGCAAGACTTCGTCTTTCGACGACATCTGCAGATTAACATACAGATACGGGCCAATTTTTTGGCCTCTCATTGTTCTGAATGTGGGTGCCAGATTTTGTTTGAAGAAACAACGCTTCTCGCGTCCCACCCTAAAAAAGGAACTACACTGATAATTGAAGCGGCAACAATCACCCGAGGCAGCTGCATCAGTAAAGCGTCAAAATAATTATCAGAAAAAGAATTGGCGTATTTCAATACTTCGGCACTTGGTGTTCCAAAGTGGTCACGTGGTTTATTTCAGTCTCTTTGTTTTTGTTGGTTTTTTTACCAGTGTTCTTGTATAAGCATGTGATTTTTTTCTTTTTTTTGTAAACTATATCTATGCGCGACTTCTTAGTAATAAATCCGTCGGAAGTCTGCGCTGGTTCTCGTCTCTTTTGTTCGTTGTCTAAATTTTTTTTTGCACTGAGCATTTTAATAGTGGCATACGAACTAACCAATCCCACACTTTACCACAACTACCACAGCATTGTAGCGTCCCGTCTCATGCACCGCTGTCTTCAATTTGAACAAGATCACCGAACTCTCCATGGGCCTTGAGGAGACTCGATGTTCGGCCCTTTACTGAAGAAAAGATCTTAAGAACCTGGTCTGACAGCACATCAGCCTATAGAAAGCCACAAGGGCCTTCTTCAGTACATGAAGGCGACAGCGATGAGCAACCACCTGTGAAACCCTGCATTGTTTGTTATGAAATGTGTCTCTCTTTCTATCTTGCTTTTACATCCGTATTATCATGCGCATGTGTACATTGGCAAACTTTACGTAGTCTAGTCTAGCTAACCTCCCTACCTCTCCTCTATTCATTCTTTCTTGTGAAACATTCTACTGGCGAACACAAACACCGATAGGATAGGAAGACGTGCATCGCCACACTCGTAACACAAGAGTTGAAGTCTGGTAGTGTGTCTTCCTATCCCGTCATCTCTTTGCTCTCCAGTAAAATGCTTCACCGTATTCACAAGAACAAACTAGCCCAGCTGTCAACGCTTGCCGGCTGAAGGCCTGATCCTTACACATGCCTGCGAGTTGCCTCATTCAGGTCACCTGAACTTTACCACGCATCCTCTAAACGCGCACGCTTTCATTACGTGGATACACATTTTCTAACGTTAATCATTTTGAGCACGAGTCCGAGATTGCCCTGCAACGTGGCCAGGCAATCACGCACCAACTGTGACAATGTGACGGATGGGGTGCTTACGCAACAGTCGCATAGTATAGTCGCATAGGGTATTTTTTCCGCTATTGTAATTTCACAGGCTAGCTGCGACGGGTGCATTGTCATTGCCGTGCATTGACGTAAAAGGACGCTGCAACCACAATCACGACGACGAATGCCAACATGCGCGGCAGCACATTATCCCCAAATTACGATGCACTGTCTACAAATGTGTCAAATTTCCCTACCATAATTTCAAGGTGCTCACTATTACGTTTGAAAAAAAAGAGAGAAAAATGCCTTGCTTTTGTGCGTTTGAGAAATTGTTTAAAATAAAAATATAAATTAATACTTCATTATTCTGGAGTAAGTCAAGTTTCATTTCGGTACAAAACGATTAAAACACTTGGCTTCAAATGTGCATGCCATCAGATCTTAGTTTATTACATTTCAAGAAAAGAAAATCAATACCAGAGTGGTAATCCTTCTGAGGTTGATTCAAGAGAGGGGCACGTCGAACTAGCCGTACAGCTTCGAATTACCTTCGCTAAAGCGGTCGACTACAGTGACAAATGGCGTACGTGAGGTTATGTCAAGACTTACCGACAATGCAGAAGGTTCAATTCGTCTATCGAGCAATCTATCTTGATTTTTGCCTGGCTACAGTTGACACAACTGGCGTGAATGACTTGCGTGCGCAAGCGTAGCCACCACCACTGAAAGGCATGTACCCGTTATTCCGGTGCTCACGCAGTTCATATGAGGCGCAGGGCTCACCCACCCTGTATACACCTCATCAACTGTGAAAATGAATTTCTTCTCGCTAGCATTAATATATCGGCTGACCCCGTGTGCTCGCTGAATTACTCGGATTTATTCTTTCAAAATTTTAGGGCTACCATATTTCGTACCACTTCTTTCAGCTTACTTGTTTAGCTCCAGGCGTCTGCACCACGTGTTTGCACCGGTCGAAAGCGATGAATGTAAAGTTTTCGGCTTGGATATACCGGTGAAATGGCAATCCCGATGGGTAATGTTTGACGCGCTAACTCCAAACATTTGTATTCAGATTTTTTTTTCTAAACTGTGGAGCTGTTTAAGCTTTCGGTATCTTGTATTTCGTCGGGTAAAACTGCTCAGCTGGGTATGCGTCACGTGAGGCACGTGAAAGAGAGAAAAAGAGAAAGTAAGAAAGAAAAGGTACAGAAGAAAAGAGAGGAACAGAACGATCAATGAAAGAGAGAAGGAAAAATGAAGAGAAATGAAGGGATAGAGAAGTAAAAGTATAGTGACAGACACAAAGATAGAGAGAAAATCAAGGGCAAGAAAGACAGAAAAATAGAGAAATAAATGAATGAATAAATAAATAAACACAAAAATACAGAGAGAAAGAAGCAAGGGGACAGAAATAAATGGACAGAATGAAAAATACAAAAAGGGAGGAAGACATAGAAGAGAGAAAAAGAGACAGGAATCAACAGACAGAAAAAAGCAAGAAAAAAAAACAGGGAGCAGGACACGCAAAGAAAGAAAGAGAAAGAAGCAGATAGAGAGAATGAGGCAAAGCAAGAAAAGAGGAATACACATGCAAAGAATAAGAAAGAATAAGTCATAGAGAGAAAAAAGTCAAAAATAAAACTAGGAAATCGAAAGTAAAAAAAGACGAGAAATAGAAGGGTCTAGTGAAAAGGAAAAAAGGAAAACGAAGAAGGCCACCTAGTCGCACTTTTCCTACAGGCTAGGCACCACTAGTGGAAGCTGTCAGTTTTCATGGAATGATTTTTTTGTAACTTGCATGTCTCAAAATAAAAAAAAATAGGCCCCAAAGCCGTGATGATTGCATCGTTGAAATATTCAGATCTACTAAGGGTAAGTAGTAAACTGTCTCGCATCTCACAGATAACTCGGCGCACACGTGAACAGCATATATTTAGAAAAGAACAGCCTTCCACAACACTTCAAGTAGCTCCGTGATATTAGATTGCTGTGTGAATGACGAAATGTGGGGGTAGACTAAGTTTGGGCAACGCACAACTATAGGTGATGGTCGGGTGGAGAAAATGGTGGTGATATTTATAATACCAGCTCTGCTTGCGGCAAACCTCCCCTTATTTTCATCTTCCCCTTGCTTAGTGCGCAAAAACATTCAACGCATCACAACAGCTTTTAGACCATAAAAACCACTGCACATTTTAAGGAATTATTTATTTTTTTAGAATTAGCTATCTGCTAGAAGTCTTATGAAAGCTAGCTGATCACGGAGCTCAGGCAATACTTAATCCAGCGCTCGTCCTGTCAAAACTTTCTGCTTGCCTTATACCGTGGCCGACATTAGAGGTATTTCAGTATGCGTAACGTTATGGTATACCCCCGCGCGGCAGTATATGGCCCAGCACCTGGAAACAATAACCCGTAGAGATAGCGAAGACGCGTGTCCACCAGTCGCTAAGCGGGGCCAGTGGGAGGCTCGCGCTTGACCTTTGCAATCAACGGGCACTGATGTTTACACATCTTGATTTCTTCAACGCGAGCCGCTCTGAGAGATTGATTGATTGATTGATTGATTGATTTGGGGGTTTAACATCCCAAAACCACCATATGATTATGAGAGACGCCGTAGTGGAGGGCTCCGGAAATTTCGACTAGTTGGGGTTCTTTAACGTGCACCCATCTGAGCACACGGGCCTACAACATTTCCGCCAACATCGAAAATGCAGCCGCCGCAGCCGGGATTTGAACCCGCGACCTGCGGGTCAGCAGCCGAGTACCTTAGCCACTAGACCACGGCGGCGGGGAAACGCGAGCCACTCTGAGAGATTTGTGGCAGTTTTTTTTTTCGTTTTTTGAAAAACTGCGTGAAATGACAAATCGTGACCGTTCAGAGACAAAGTTGGCGAGTAGTACTGAGATGATGCTGGTTCGTGACCTTGTTGCGTCTCTACAGACGGTACTTTCTTCTATTTGATTCTTTTACACTCTCTCTCCTCTTCCAATGTACAGAGTGAAAACCCGGACACGTCCTCTAGTTAACCGATGTGTGTCTTTGCTTCTTCTCCATATTTCCATCTGTTTTCCCACTTATTATATCTTCATTTAAAACGCTGCACTACTGATCAATAGCATGGCTCACCTTCCACGTGGTGTTGAGCTTGTTGATGAAGGACACCATGCCGTCAGAGACATGCCTGAAATTGACTGGATAGAAACGGCGACCGTGGACGGCAGCCACAAGCACTACGCACGCAAGCATAGGCTTCCACATACTCTGGAATGGAAAACGATTCATTCATTCATTGACCGAAGAAATAATGATCATAATAACAATGGATGGGTTTTACGAGCTAAAACGACACGATTACAAGGGAAGGCGATGTGGAAGGCGCTGAATATTATCACCATTTGGTGTTCTTTAAATGGGATCGTGTTGCATCGCACAGGGCTTTCTAAAATTTTGCCTCTATCAAAACGCGACCACCGCGGGCGCTACTGAACCCGTAACACTTGAATCATTAGGGTATTTGTGCATGAAAAAAAAGTGGATCTGAGTGATCAAAACATCCTTTGGACGATGAGTGGTCAATCGACTATAATGCACACTCATTTGTCCATTCATTTGTTTAGTGAATACGCGTCCGTACAGCCCGTCGAGCGTTCATGATTTTTTCCCCTAGAGCTCTTAACTACTGTGGCACACCAATAAAAAAAATGTTTCCGTAATCTGTAACCTTCTGCGCCTTATGCTTTTATTTTACACTGCATAAAGATGTTACATCAACCTAGTCAACAACCTAGTCACCTGGTGGCTTATGCTAATATTTCATGGTTCGGGATACCTCGGTCCTTCAAATACGAGTTTTAAAATGGTCTTCTGTTAATGATTCCTTGAAGACAGATTTGAACTTTATACTTTTCTCAATGTTTGCAAGGCAGCAGAAACCTGTCTATTTGCTTACCTGAGATTCCGCTGGTGGGGACCAGTGGAAGATGTTGTGCCCTGCATTCGTCTTCTTATACGCGAGAATGAAGAGAACAGTTATCGTCGTTATCATTTACGTTCGGTGTCCCCTTGCGCTCATAGCGCACTAAACAACCTCAATACGCTTATCTCTGAACAAACATTTGAGACACGTGAGTGCACGGTCGTCAAAACCTTGTTAAAGGAAGGATATTGTTCTTCAAACGTCTTCTTAACGCATGTAAAGAGATAAAAATACAGAAAAGAGGGCAAGTAAGGGCGTGGTAAAAGGTACAGAAAGCTCCAGCTCTTTCCTCGGGCGTGCCTATGTGGGGTGTGGGACATTCAAGTTGTGTATAAGCTTTAAAGAACACTGGTTCCCAAGTTTATAGTCAGTGTAACTCACCATCAGATTGAGCGTCGGGCTAATTCATGCAGCTTCAACGTTTCACAGTCCATGGAACGAGGACGAAAAAATAGTAGACACACAGAACGCTGAGTAGACACACTGTTTGCTTCAATTAACACCCGTGCATCGACCCACTTTTACATTGCGAAAATGATTTGACCTAGGATTTGCCACACCAGCTGGCTCCTGAGATACGGCATGTGCTCGCACATGCCGAACAAGGATGAACCTTCCAACCAACCTGTGCCATATCTGGAAGGGTGCCGTATAAGAGCTTTGGGAGAGTTGGTAAAGCTTCATATGTACTACGCCACGACTGCAACAATCCAAGGAAAAAAGAAAGGAAAATAACCTTATTTTGTCCTGCGGAACGTGACTGGGTGCGTGACCCAGTCACGTTCTGCATGACACAAACGAAAACAAAAATTCTAGGAATGTTCCACCACACGTGAAAGCTGTACGAACTGCGATACATCGATTCACCGTTGCTTACTTGACGTTTATCAGCTCTTTGTTTTTGTTCTTTTCATCTGATTGTGTGATAAAAACCATTTTTCAGTTTTGCTTGAGATACTTCAACGCAAAAGTTGTGGTCTGTCTGTTCGTCTGTAGGTTGGTCCTCATGTGCAACAATTCAACCACCCGCCGAAATGATAAGCCGTCGCTCAATGCCCACCTTTATTTATCTGGTGGCTGTGTTCATACTTGTGAACGTTGTCAATCAAAAAGAAAATATTACTCACATTTGATGCGCAACATCAATACGTGAGAGCTAGGTACTGTGTTTCTTCATTAAAAAAATGCATAGACACGTAATTCTAAAGAACGCAGTGTTTATTACGCTGCACTGACATTGCGACTCTACGAACGAAAAAGCGGGTGTTTCCTGCGTTTCGCTGGATGGATGGATGGATGGATATGGCTGTACCCTTTAGATCGGGCGGTGGCTAGCGCCACCAAGCCGTAATACTCAATGAAACAAAAACTAGATTTATTTTTTTTAAAGTGAGTTTGAGTATTCGTACTTTGCAGTGAATGGTTTAATTTTCACTCGTGCCTTGACTTTAGCCACCAATAAGATAACCTTCTTCTAGTTAAGTCTACCCGCTTAAAGTCTATTTTGCCCTCCCGCTCCCTAAACCCCAGTGCTTTGAAAAACTCAGCGCCATCATCCTGAACTATAAGGTGAAGCCCTTTACAGAACATTATCAAGTGTTCGACAGTTTCCTCTTCCTCTCCACACGCACTGCATACTGTGTCTACCCCTTCGTATTTGGCCCGATATGTCTTGGTTCGCAGTACTCCCGTCCTGGCCTCAAACAGTAGAGAACTACCCCGAGTATTATCATAGATCCTTTCCTTGGGAATTTCCTGCTTAAAGGTTCGATAGGTCTCTAGTGCGGACTTCTTAATCATGCCCATTCTCCACATGTCAGTCTCAGTTTCCTTCACTTTCTTCTTAACCGACAGTTCTTTTTGGTTTGGCCACCTGCTGTTTTCTAAGTATTTACCAGTCAATTTCCTGGTTCGCTTCCTCCATTTTGTATCGACATTCTTCATGTACAAGTAGCTGAAAACCTTCCTAGCCCAGCGCTCTTCCCCCATTTCTCTCAATCACTTCTCAAATTTTATCTTGCCACTAGCTTCCCTGCCCTCAAATGATGTCCATCCCATATCACCTTGTACTCCCTGATTTGGTGTATTCCCGTGAGCCTACCTCTTCCACGTTGCTTAATTTCTAATCTTCCTTGAACTTCTGATCTCATGCACAAGACTACATTGCCGAACGTCAGCCCAGGAACCATGACCCCTTTCCATATTCCTCTCACAACATCATACCTATTGTAATTCCACAGTGCCCTATTTTTCATCACTGCTGCATTCCTGTTACCTTTAGTCGTCACGTATATTTCGTGTTCCCTCAGGTACTCGGTCCCATTGCTTATCCATACGCCCAGATATTTGTATTTATCTGTTATCTCTAGCGTGACCTCCTGTATTCTAAGCTTACTACCTTTTTTTATTTCAATACCCTAAAGGCCCAATTGGGCATTAAATAGGGGGGATTTAAGTGAATACACACATTTCAAGCAACATGAACGGAAAACAGAATACCAAAAAGTAACAATAAAAAGGAAACAGCGAGTAAATCGAATCACAGCATCAAGTCAAGTACGTTCATTAACATTAATCGAGTACATAATCATTAGTACAATAATAGTGAAAACACTTAAGAAAATTACATCGAAGAACACTGAATAAGTATCGGGAGCAAAAACAGCAGACGAAACGAGGGCAATCAGACACAGGTCAGCCATGTTTTTCACTATGCAAATAGCCCTGAAGCATGAGTTAAATATGGAAGGATCTGTTATTTCGGCGATGTTAGGTGAAAGAGAATTCCACTCTATTATGCATAATGATAATGGCGAATTTTGAAACTTCTTGGTCCTAGCGAAAATGGGGGCCACCTTGTGCGCATGATCAAGGCGGGATGAAGTATGAGGGGCTGGAAAGATATGAGACTGGGCGAAGGATGAGTTGCTGTGATAAAGTGAGTGAAAGAACGATAGTCGAGTAAGTCGCCTGCGCATGGCAAGTGTGGTAAGGCCAAGGCCCGATTTTAGTAAAGAAACACTTATGTAACGCGAGTAGGGTGATGAGATGAACCGAGCAGCTTTATTCTGTACCATTTTGAGCATGTTAGTAAGACCAATTTGGTGAGGATTCCATATGATTGAAGCGTATTCTAGGGATGGCCGAATCAATTAATTGAAAGCGCGCGGTCTTGTGTCCTTATTAGTGAAGTGCAAGCGACGTTTAAGGAGGCCGAGTTTCTTGAGAGCCTTATTAGTAGTATACTCTATGTGAGCAGTCCAGCTTAGATCTGAAGTGAGTATTACGCCCAAATACTTAAATGACGTGACTTTTTCTATTATCGAATCGTTTATTTTATAAGATCTATAGCATACAGAAGTGATATTAGTAAACATTAAGTGCTTGGTTTTTTCGACATTAATTTCCATTTGCCATTTGCTGCACCATTCCCCTAAGCTGGTAAGATTCTGTTGTAGTTCTGCAACGTCATCTGTGCAAGTTATTTTCCTATAAACAACGCAATCGTCCGCGAAAAGACGAATTGATGAACTTATGTTAGATGCAATGTCATTAATGTATACTAAAACGAGAAGATGACCCAGCACACTGCCTTGTGGCACACCAGATGTTACTCGGGTAGGATGAGATATGTAGTTGTTAAGTTTAACTGACTGAGACCTGTTGTTTAGAAATTCTTGTATCCATGCAGTCGTTTTCTGGTCGAGGCTGAGGTGACGTATTTTTAACATTAGCCGGTTAAGGGGAACACGATCAAAAGCCTTAGAAAAGTCTATGAAAAGCGCGTCGATGCAGATGCACATATGAAGAGCTGTGTGCAGGTCTGTCACGAGTTCGAAAAGTTGAGTCTGACATGATAATTTTTCTCGAAAACCATGTTGGGTTTGAAGAAGTAAATTGTTACGGTTGAGGTGACGCATGACCTGGGAGCGTATGATGTGCTCTAGTAACTTACACGAAATGGACGTGAGTGAAATCGGCCTATAGTTGTTGGGGTGATTGCTGTTACCAGACTTAAAGATGGGTACCACATTAGCCAATTTCCAGTCATCTAGTATACAACCAGAGTCAAGGGATTGCTGGAAAATGAATGCAAGCAACTTAGCTGAATGTTGACAGGTTAATTTAAGTAGTTTGGCGCTGATGCCATCGGGGCCGGGACTGGTTTTAAGGGGAAGTCGAGTGATAACGCTAGCTACACCATGCTCTGTTATTAGGATTGCTGGAAAAGGGTATTCAATGGGCAGTTGTGACAGTGAAAGAGAATCATTCAGTGGAAGTTCGTCAGTGAATACCGTGGTGAAGTGTTTGTTGAATTTTTCAGCGGAGTGTTCTACCGATAAGGTGCTGCCGTCTTCCCTCATTAATGCTGCTGTTGAGTGGGTGCTTTTGGGGTTCACGATATTCCAAAATTTTTTAGGGTCCGTTTTCATGAGGTTAGGTAGCATTTCGTTAAAGAATTTATCTTTCGCTTGAAAAATGATGCTGTGTGTTTCAGCTGAAATGTTTTCGTAAGCTTCCCAATCTTGGGGACAGTTCGAGCGACTTGCTTTTCTGTAAACCCTTTTCTTCTTGTTCAGGGCGCGTTTTACGTCTCGCGTGAACCATGGATCATCTGATCTAGAACTTATTGTTAGTTTAGGAACACAGGTAGCTTCCATTTCTTTAAGTTTATCCCGGAACAAACACCAGTTTTCATTAGCTGTACGGTCGTCAAAGTATTCGTAAAATTCCGCTGCGAAAGTGTGTAGCATACTGTTCATTTTTGTTATGTCGGTACGCGCATAGTTCAGCAACTGTTTTTTAATTTTTGATTTCCTTGCAGTAGGAAGTGAAACCAAGCAATGGACAACCCTGTGATCACTGATTTCTTCTAGCATGCGTGTGCTACAGATTTCGGGGCTGTTAGTTAGGACCAAGTCTAAAACCCGATCCTTCCGCGTAGGTTTCTGTACAAGTTGTGTTAAATTGTGATAAAGGAGCAGCTGAAGAAATCGAATACATTCAGATCGATTATTATCATGAAGGGCAGACAGGGTGGACCAATCT